TAAGAGACTTGTAAACTCCACTTGCTTACAAATAATGATGCATCATAAATGATTTAATCAAATTCTATGTCATGATATGGTATTTGTTTGCAAGCAATAATCAACAAGGAGATGTTGGTGAACAAAATGCAAAGGAACATATATGGGACTTGTGATGAAAGGAGAGACTTGCAATGAATATAAAGCCTACAAACATCATCCACCCACTAAATGATGACAAAGACTCATGCAATCAAATGAAACTAGAAGGGTTTGATGTGTAACAAGCATAACAAGTCTTCATGTTCAATGGAATGTGGATATCAAGCAAATGTTGAATATTAAGCCCCTACACATATTGTAAATCATCTCCAAGGTCAAAGAACTTGAACGATCTATTTATTTGCAAGTGATAAGAATATTCGAATGAGGGTTGGTTTGTAGCTAATCTCAAGGGAATCATAAACAAATATGTCAACCCGCTTGCAATTGATGGGGGGAAGCAATACACAATGAATGCAACACATCCACGAGCAAAGTGGAGAGGTCGCAAGGAAAATAGTCCACCTACGATCAATAATAACCAATGGCTATATATCTCACAAATATATAACAATTTTCACAAATCAACCTGCATGCAATGGTTAAATAAAGAAGACTAAAATATGTCTACAACTAGTAGCTTGAAGATACCCACCAGGCTTAGAGTTTCCATTCCAAATATTGGAAAGATAATGATCGTTGAAGAGCTTTTCGAAGTCTCCTTCAAGAATGGAAGATTCATGATGTATGCAACTAATCACATATGGATGATAGTAGAAGATCATACAATGACAAGCTCATAAGCAAAGCTTAGAGATCTAATATCTCTACAAACCATGGTGAATATGAAAGCCAACAATAATTGTCAATATCATTGGTAATAATACTGTGACAAATATATATGTCCATCCCCTACAAGAGGAGAAAAATGCTAATGTTGGAAGGCTCAGAAGACGATATATATTTGCAGCCCCATAGTAACCATGCACTTACTAAGGTGGTGAACCATGACAAAATCAAATCAAAGTTAGTTGCCAAACTAATAGTTAAGAAACTCTCAGAATCTCTATTGGTGACAAAAGTTTTAGAACTCCTGATATTATTCAGTACTTATCTATTGAAGCTAGCAATCTGAGAGATCCCAGAAAGAGTACAAAGTTTGAAAATCTGCTTACGTTATGCTTAACCTACAAAGAATATGATCAGAGTATAATCAATGTATTCGTTGAGCCACTCAAAACATCAAAAAGGCTCTGCTTAAGGTATCAGTAAGAACACAGTCATCAAAGGTTGAAATGATTGATTCTTTATTTAAGCCAACAATAGAAAATGGTGATGATGGCATAATCAAAGAGTCACACACTAATTCTTATATGAGTTTTGGAAAGAGAGAGCTAGACTAAATCATTATGAAGTAAATGAATCTCAGTTCAACCAGGTGCTGAACATTGAGTTGGGTAAGATTATTGAAACTTGCAAGTTCCTCGATGAACAATGTTCGCGCATTTTACATATCGCCCACAAGAAAATATAGAAGGGTACGACAAATACGAGCTCCTATAAGTCACTGTAGCAGATATGTGGTACACCCAGTCAGTTGTCCTCAAGCAAGATACAAAGTGACTATGTCAAATATAAGTGCTTACGAGTTATACCGGGAGACTCTTCGTGCGTACAACAAGCTATCTACGAGCATCTATAAATACAAAAAGCAGGAGATTAGTTAGTGCACTACAATCCACCTGCAGAAATCAACGAGTAGTGCACGACAGTCTACCTGTACGAAGCAGTGAACAATTTCATCCAGAAGTTGCTATGCCACGCCACCGGATCCACAACTTCTATGCAAGCGGACAGAAGGCGTCTACAAATACTTTCAAAGTACCCCCACTTGCACTATAGTTTGTATACACATATGTACACTAAAGGGGGTAAAAGAAATTATAAAACCCGCATGGGCCCCGGCGAGCGTGTTATTGGTACACACGTGACGTCTAGGGATGCTGCGCGGGTTATCAAAAACCCGATCTTCCTTAGCAGGTAAAAAGGAGTCGACAGGGTTTAATTATAAAATACCCCCAAACCCGCAAGGGCCCCGACGAGCGTGTTATTGGTACACACGTGACGTCTAGGGATGCTGCGCGGGTTGACAAGTGAATTCAGGTTCGAAACCGATCCTTCTATACGGGTCAATAGAAGTCGACAGTGTTCGAACCAACAAACAAATATACGATTGTGGCGACCGTCATATTTGTCTTAATACATTCGTATTAGGCCATCAAGGCCTATAACAATATGAATTCACTAATAAATGCTCAAAACCTACAAAACTCGATCCTCTGTCGACAGCCTGACAGAGTTGACAAGGTTCAATCCATAAAGAGAAATGACCCCTAACACCCCGATGATGGCCGTGTTGAATGCATATCTCAACCGGAGGGGTTCCCAAATACTTTTCAATTCTCCCAAAGTCCATTTCAAATATTCCAAAGCTCCACCCAAAATACCCACAAAAAAATCCCAAAACCCAAAACATTTAAAATTTGAAATCCAACCATCAAATGCTTAAAACAAAATCCATCAACCCTTCGCAACAGTTTGCCGAGGTGGACAAATTTAAATATAACTTTAGCTCACATAGAGCCAAATGCCTAGTCGAAAATATCACTAGGATCCGTTCTCAAATAATCTTTTGCCAGTAAGGACGTGGTACGTGTCCTCTAACCGGCAGTTTCGCCGCCAAATGGCACTGCAGGTAAACGGTTATGACCCGGGGCCCTCTGAACCGAGTGGTTTTGCCGCCAAATGGCACCACAGATAGCGGTTATGGCCAGAGCCAATACGCTCCTTAATGACGTTAAATCCTTGAGATATGAATCAATAGGATATGATCGATAGGGCACAAAGCCCTCTGTTAGCTAAGGTGGATTTAAATTTGTCCCCTTAGACAAACATTCAACCCCGGTCTACAAGGTCCCCTTAGACGAAGCAACCCATGGCTGCCGACAAGGATCCTTCTGTCAGGTTGGGTCGACTACCTCCTCTGACTAAGTAGACCAGGGACCACGATGGCCCGGGACGACGGAACCATGGGATCTTGATCGGGTCCATCATCCATTCCCCCACCACCAGCTTTAAGTGCAGGATGGTGAAATTTCTACTTTAAATATCAAACTCTCCAAATTCCCAAATCCAAATCCAGTTTTCAAATACCCAAATCAAAACCCAATTTCTAAATCCAATTTCTACCAGCATCCTAAACCATATGCTGCTACTATATGCCAGATGCACGTATCTATACGTATCTGATTGATGACTAGCCTTAATCGAAAGTTCTCTCTCGTGATCGAGAGGGGTAATTAACTATAGGGGCTTACGCCTATAGGAAACCAGAACTCAGATCATAAAGTTCTCGCAAAATGAGGGCGAAATCTCTGGGTAGTGTCTTATCTACAAACCCATCTGCCTTCCAAAATTTACCTCGGAACTTAGTTCATTAAAACTCCCTCGCCGAATAAGAAAAACGAGTGGAGGCCGAGGCCGAATTTTCGGAGCCCACATTTCTTTTGATCTTATTTGGTTCAGTTTTGCTCCCTTGCTACTTTTTTCATCAAACCTTCTTTTATATTTATTGATCATTCGGAAAACCTAAGAAACTTTTATTATTTCTTGAGAGAGCAGTGGATTCTGCCGCTTACACAAGACATTAAATATAAGATCTTTATTTTATAGCATATATATGACTAATAACTTTTCTTATGGCTATCTATTAGCTTTGCAAAATTGAATAGGAAAGTTTATATGTACTCGCCTTCTTGTACTAGAAGGTTTCTATTTATTTTGCTTAATTTTAGTGTTCAATTGACTTCTTTGTGGATTATTTTCTACCTTGGTTATTCGCGCTTTGTCTTTGGTAGGATTTTACATGATAGTGCATAATGGTGCATTCCTCTATTTCTTGCTATTGATGAGGATTGGAAGCTATCATACCTTGGTTTCTACATTCAAACAACTGATTTTATTATTTTTTTCCTTCTTGAATAATACTAGAGGCCTCCACATTATGTTGGCCAGAATATTTTTAGTCCAAACTTGGTCTATGAGATCGGTTTTGCTGAAACTAGCATGCAAATATGCAATTCCATAAACACTGGCTATTCTTTCAGACGTGGAACATTTTGAAGGAAGCTTTCTATCAAGCTTTTTATGTATTTACTCATTGATTGTTGTTTATGGGAGTTATCCCTTTTTGCTTTGAAGCAAATTTTGGTCAAAATGAGTTCATGTTAACATTGTTAGGGAATTCATGTTAATATTTTTGTATGAGTTTAATTCTCAAAAGGATACTTCTTGAATTTTGAATCAATCATATCCATTTCCAACATTTTAATTTTTCTTCAATTTTTTTCTTAGTTGTAAACAAACTCATATGGCTTTGTGGTCTTAATTATAGTTAAACAAAACCTGCATATGCCTCTAAGAGAACAAATGATGCCCATGTTGTTCAGTACAAAATTTTGTTATCTCTGGTATCATTATGATTACGTTTATCTCAGCTACTTACTATTGTGTTGTGACTTCTCATTTCCCATTCTTTCGTACCGAGTGCTGCATGAAATGTTACTCAATTTCGTGCAACTTCAAGTGTGTTGGTCAAACTCAATATCTACTCAAAATTAATTGAATCAAGAGCAAAGCTTGAAATCAACTCAAATCAAGCTAAACTTATAATGACTTCGATTTACAATTACTCTTAACAATTCTACTTGGTATGGAATTTTATCATGAACTTTCATCATCTAACAGCTAGGACCATCGGATGGATCAACTTGATACAAGTACCCACCATAAGTACAGATAGTTTGTCAAATAGATTTTGATGGATACTAACCTTAGAATTGAAAAGACAATTGATGAGGATCATATTGCTACATTCCATTGTTATCCACAATCTGACTTGAGGGGTTTTTGTTTACCAGGGAATTTGGTGTGTAAAGATGCACTTCCAGATCACAGTATGCATGAACTTAGGGGTACCAGATGGTCCAGATCTGCTTGTCCTCCTTTGAAGTTTCATACTGCTGGTGGCCAGTCTATATCAATTTCCGCTGACGCATTGAAGCATGCAAGAAACCTTCTTAATGACCTGGAATCAGAAGCTATTGAAGATGAAGCTAAGGAAAATGCACTGTCATATTCCACTTATGAAACTAATAAAATTAACAACGAGTCTTCTTGCAACGTAAAAAGGGTAGGTAATTTGCATGATGGTATCTTTATGAATAAAGCTGTATTTGAGATTTCGTCATCTGTGAAGCAATTCCGCTCTCCTCTTATGGCACCTATCACGTCTAGTTCATTCCCAAATCATGTTGATTCCAAGCCTGATCATCATTCAAATAATAATGATTCTTGTTCAAAGCCTCCAAATAAGGAGCTCTCTACATCACATACAAAAGTGCCCTATTCTAGAATGATTCGAGCAAGCAGTTCAGTACAGGGAGAGTTTGTTGATATTTCCAACTATGCCAATTCAAGTATGAAAAATAAAAGCTGGATCAATGGTAAAAAGAAACGACTAGGAATGGAAAGCTCTAGTTCATTCAAAAAACCTCGAACTTCCAAGTATAATTCTCCATCATTTTTATTCACATTTATTATGTTATCTCTGTGTTATCATTTCTGACATTTGTTATTTTCTTGTCTTTGATTAAGGTTTAGTACTTCAAATAACAGCTCGTCAAGTTTGGCAGCAACCGGTAAATTCTTAGATCTTTAGTTGTTGACTACAAATCCATTATTGTCGTGCTTGCATCTTTCTCACAGTACTTTAGTAGAAGCAGCCTTGCCTTCATCCTCAGTAAATTGCTGTTGTAGAACAAGGGTTTCTTCACGTTACCCTTTTCAAGGACAAAGAAAGAAGCTGAAGGAATTTTTTGGTGCACCACCAGGTCGAACTATTATGGTATATAGTGCAGCACTCGAAGCTTGCTTTTATTTTCATAAATCTTCTTTCAAATCTTCTCTTACCTGCATTGTATTTTCCTGCTTATTTCAGTTTGAGAATATACCAGATAGAGTAAGATGCATGACTCCAGATAATGCCGAAAAATATAGGTTTCGTGATACTTGTTCTTCTATTGAATTTGCACCAGAAGCTTTTAAGGAAATGTTGCTTCAGTCTGGTGCTTTGTTGGCAGATATTAGTGAGAAGTAACGTTATTCTTTCAGCACCCTCTACCTTCATATATTTTGACATCAACAGTATGAATGCCAACTATAGCGATGATTTGTATATTTTTGCTATAATCCTATAGAACTGTCTTTTATCATGTGATTATTACTTAAATAGTCTTAATTTGATAAAACATATTTGAAGCTTGTATGTGAATGCATGTATATGATACGAACATTTAGCAGAAAAACAGTATATAACACAGAAAACATTACAATTACTTGTATCTATATGCTTTTGCTTATGCACATGCTAGATGAATGTTGACCCGTATTTGAAAAAAAAGGAGAAAAGAAATCTCTTCATACTTGTTCAATGCCGAATCGCACGTCGTCGCCACTCAAATCCCATAAATCTAGCGACCCGGACATACGACCACTGGCTTCGCACGTTCAACGTCATTTCGCCCCACGACACTTGTGTCATTAAAATGAGAAGAAAAGAGGCAGAAGTGCTCTCTCGCTCTGCCTACCTCGTTCGACTTCGCCCTTCGAATGACTTGCTTTTCCGACCAATTGGAAATCAGGACAGTTGGATCGGAAGCCAGAACGGGTACTCGCCGGCTGTGAAGTGATCTCCCTCCCTTTCGTTCGCTTCCTTTACTCTTTTGTGGCCGGTCGACTTTGATCCCTTCTGCGACAACCTTCCCTTCCAGTCGATCGGAAGCTACGACACCTTGGATTGGAGGCAACGGCGGAGAGCTCACTCACCGTGAAGGTAGCTTTTGCCCTTGCACGCGCTTCTCCGGCCCCCCTTTGCTGGTCGACGTCACCCCTCCAACGACTTTCCCTCCCAGCGGGATTGCAAGTTACAACATTTGGATCGGAAGCAGTCACGGGAACTCGCTCGCTGTGTAGAAAACTTTCTCCCTGTTGCGCGTTGTCCGATCCCGCTCCAGCGACGATTCTCCCTTTCTGTCACACATTTGGATCGGAAGCAACAACATGAGTTCGCATGCTGTGAAGGAAACTTTCTCCCTGCCGTGCGCCTCTGTGACCGAATCCTATTGCTGAGCAGCCTCTTAGGGCATTTTGTTTTAACTAAGTTTATCATTATTATTATTATTATTATTATTATTATTTATTTTTAATTATAAATTAATAACAGTTAATTAAACTTAATTACAATTAAGTAATAATTAATCATGATTAATCACATGATTAATTAAATACTAATTATAATTAATATAATTAGTTTTATATTAATTTTAATTAATTAAAATTAAATTATAATTAATTCTAATTAATAATAATAATAATCCCTTCTCTTGCCTCGACATGTGTGCCCTTCGCCGCCGGTCCCCAAGGTATAAGCTTTCTAACTTAAATCCCGCCCTCGAAGCGCTTGACGCGCTGGTGGATCCCTTATACGCGCTCTTGTAGCACGGTGGAGGAGAATCCGGTGCGACAGGTGTGACGAGGCGGGTAAGCACTATATACGCTCTTGTAGCGTGGTGGCGAAGTCATTGGTGTTCTTGTACGGGTACTGTTGAAGGCCCCATACACGCTCTTGTAGCGTGGTGGGATGAAAAGATATACGGCCGCAGTGTCTAAGGACACCTACCATACATGTTCGAGTAGCGTGGTGGGAAGGCCCAACTCCCCTACTTTCCCCCAAACGGGGGATATGTCGGGATGTTGCCGAAATTTTCACTGAAGTGCACAAAGCCTGAACAATAAGAAGATCTCATTTGGGCAACAATGCAGAAGACTTGTACTTGAACAGAAATGCATAGAACTTGAACTAAAATGTGCAGAGGACTTGTATAAACAACAAAGAATAAGGACCTGGACTCAAATGAGCATGAACAATGACTTGTGGACCAAATGCAAATGATCAATAATAAAGGCTTGAACTTAATCAAAAAATGAAATTGAAATAAGGACATAACTCAAATCAATACGAATATGAGATTGAACTTGTAAGGACTTCAGAAGACCCTGAACAAGCATGTAAACATGTATTTTGAACTCGAACCGGATTGAATACAAGGGACCTGTGAACTTGTGCACTTGAACTTGGACTTGAATTCAAAAAGAAAAAAATACGAAGAGCTTGAACTTGCTACTTAAACTCAACAATGAGCTGAATATGAGAACTTGCAAGGACTTACGAACTTAGATTTGACTAGAATCAAGCCTTCAGTGTACTCAAGTGAATGTTGACGAACAAATGAGCTTGCGACATAACTTTCTTACAAGCACGGGTCAATGAAAGCCAAGAGGAAATGCAATAATACGAGTGCAAATGATTGTACGAATTCCTCAACAAATGAACAATATGAAACTCATAGTGCTCAAATCAATCAATGTATGAGAAAGAAAAGAGGGATGTGTAATACAAATGTCCATCTCAAAAGCAAAAATCAAAGACTTGTAACAACATTAATTAACAATATACAAATATACGCAAGGGGATCATGATGAATGCAACGGACTCCTACAACGGTCCCTACAAGGTCAATGCACTATGCTTGTAAGCAACAACAGACAATTGCAAAGTGTATGAGTACTACCCATATGTAGCAATCAAAGATCTATCCCTACAGCAAATGCAATCATCAAACCACCTGAGATCGGTAAAAGATGGATATGATGTAGGAACAGTGGGTCTCCTATGAACACTTCCAGGAGGTTGTAATGGATACAACCAACATTTAAAATTGCGCAATAAGAGGCGCGCCTCAGCGCAATTTGGTCCATTTAAGCCTCAAAGCCCACGCAATAAGTTCAGTTTATGAGGCTTACGCCTCAAGTTTACTGAGGCGCGCCTCGCCTCATATATTTAAGGCGCCGCCTCTTAAAAAATTAACATACAGATTTTTTTTTTCAGTTTGGCCCCAGCAGTTGCCGACGTGGCGCGCCTAGTGAGATGTCGACGTGGCATCAACATTTAAACCCTGGTTTAGGTCGAATACAGAGGCGACGTTTAGATTTTTAAATTCCAACAAAAATTTGAACTTTCAAGCATTCACTCCGGAGCAATTTCAAGCATTCTTCACTCAGTTTCTTCTAAGATGTCGTCACCCCCAAAGAGAAAGGTAACTTAATGCTATGTTTTCTGTTCCGTACTGCGTATTTTATGGTTATGCTATGCGTTGGTGTTCAAGGTTCTGAAGATCTTCTTATTTTATGCGTATTTTATGCGTATGCATTGCTTCTCGAAACTTTTTAAATATTTGATACTTTGATGCCATCGTGTTTTCTCTGTATTCAGGGTTTATGATGAATTTATGTTGAAATTTAAAACATAAAGCCTAACTAAATTTTAAGCACCGAGTAATATATGTGTAGGCTGTGCGTACGGAATGCGTCTTTTGTGCGTATGCTATGAGTGCACGTTGCGTGATCCTTGCTTAGAATGTGCGTACTTATGCGTGCGTATAATTTGCTATCATGTTTTCTGCAATGTGTGTTCTTGATCATATGTTTTGCATATACTATGCGTGATCAGTGCTTATGATATGCGTATTGTTTGCGTTTGTATAATTTACTGCCATATTTCCTGCACTGTGCGTTCTTGTGCGTGTGCTGTGCGTAATATATGTATATCTTATGCATACACTGTGCGTGACCGTTGCTTATATTCTGCGTATGTTGTGCGTTTTTTTGTGCGTATTTCATTTATTTATTTTTAATTTTTAATTTTTTATAATTTTCAGATATATGTTTGTCCAATTACCTATCGATGTTGTTTCTTCGTTTCGAACAATCTGTCATAACTTTCCTCAACAAATTACTCCTGAATTCAAGGACACATTGAAACGTTTAAAGATGATACAATTTTTGGAATTTCTTGAGTTTGAGCAAAATGTCCCTCTTATTTATGAGCTGATCTTAAGGTGGGACATTTCAAAATAATGCTTTGTTATAAAAGGTCAACCCATTCCTTTCACTGCTAATGAAGTGACCATTCTTACTGATCTGCCAAATAAAGGAGAAGAAATATCCTGGCATTCCTTAGCACATACTTCAGTTACATCAACGGAAATAAGGACATACATGATGGAGTTGAACAAGCAAATCCCCCCGAGACTATGTTAAGAACGTTTATCATGTATTTATGTTCAAATTTATTTTTTCAACTTAACAACTTTAAAACCCCTCGGTTGATTTAAATAATAACAAATAATTCAGATGATTTTTTGTCAATAAACTGGGCTAGTTCAATTAGGGAATTTTTAGTTGGAGAGTTTAATAAGGCCTCCTCCAAGATTTCAAATAAGAAGCGAGCAAGTTACATCAACGATTTTGTACCTCTGCTAATTGTGAGTGCTAAGTGCTAACTGTTAAATTCATTCAAAATTTTATTTGCTCAATGTGAGTGCTAAAATTTTCTTTCATCTTATGCAGATTTGGTTCATGGAGCATATTACTATTCATGTTCCTATGTATGCTGACAAGAGGCCCCGTTTTCTTCGATGGGCCGATGATATTGTATATACTACAGAGATGATCACTAACTTATTTGCTAATATAAAGAAAAGTCACATTTGTAATGTCCTACAGGCAGTTTCCTAGGCAGTTTCCCAGGCAGAAATGGATATGGTTAATGTCGAGAAATATCCATCAGACAGCCATCCATCCCCTGATTCCCTTCATGAAATATCCACCCATCAAAACAACCCCTCCAATCTCCCCATCATACCTCACCTCCTCAACAAGACCCCCACCGATCTCCTCAGCAACCACACTTAAATTTTTCTGCTGAAACACTTCAGTCTCTACAAGAAACAATAATCAAATCTTGCCAAAAAATATGCACAAAACTTTTTCGAGAATTTGAGGACAGGTTGAGCACAAAATTTTAAGATCTAACTGAGAGAGTTTGAGTTATTGAGGTCAAGCTCAATAATTACATTGATCAGAGCAAAATAATTCCTCAGAAAAGATCTGTTAGCTACTCTTCATCTTCCAATAAGAGACATAAATCAGATATCTCTCCCCACAGCCCTAAAATGAACCAAATGAGTCAATCC